TCCACTGATTGATTCAAGTCGCGGCCGCAAATTGATTTGAATTGGTGAATTGGTAGAAAAATCCACTCTTCATAGGTAGTAACTTTCGTGATTTGAATATCTGTTGAAAACACTCTTTTCTAACCAAAGGAAATGTTGTTAGTTGTGCTTTGGATGGTGAACATACAGTAAGATATATTCCATCATGTGGATGTATTTTTTACAGTCGATCTTGGTAAATCAATGTCTCAAAATTCGACGCATACTTTTGATATGGTGTTGTCTATAGAAAAGTTCAGAATCAGGACCAGGAAATAATGGAATGGGAATAACAGTTGCGATTCCTAACATATGGTAATACCCGAGGGAGGCCAAATATTCATCATCCTTGTTTCGACTAGCTCACACAAGACCCAGAAATTGTATCTGCACCGTACTCGCGACCAGCTTGCATAAGAAACTCATTAACAAATATATTCTATTGGAATAAAGATCATTCGAAACACATCTCAACTTGCGATTTCATATCGTCATTGGGAAAATTGCCCAAATGTTACTCGATTCGATTTTTAAATGCCATCTTACCAAGTGCATAATCCATAGCCCAATCAATAAGGATGATAGCATGTTGAGGACAATATGAATATGACTTGTGATTGTTTTTATTATTTATTTTATTTTCATACACTACTGCGTTGGGAACAACGGGAAAAACACCTCGGGCACCAACTCGGGCACTGCGACTGTTAACACATCGCCTTTGATAATATCTATCGCAGTAGTAGACGAAACGTCAGACATGAAATGCTGCAGAAAACAGTAAAATAAAACCAGAAAATAGCTTTCACACAAAATGTTTGTTTACAAGATATTGTTTATAATTTTTGGACAATAACAAATCTAGACACGCATCTCTTCAAGCTTTTGAAAAGGCTAAAGTTGAGGTTCCATTACTACTATTCAATTAATTTTTACTTGGAACCGCCTGACCTGAAAAGTCTTGTTTTCTGAATAAACGTATGAAAGTCGTCAGTTGGATATTTGCCAGTAATCTGGATTAAATTTCGGTTGGGCACGAACTGCTTGCCTATAAGAAATAAGTAACTGTCTCTGTTTATTCGTTGCATTATATATAGCTGAGTTCTCTTTTACATATGTTCATATTGTTTCATTAAAAGTGTTCAGTGAGTCAATCCTTGCTCTGTGAAGTTGTTCTTCAAATATTTCTCAGATGTTCCTTTCGTGGTTCAACTACATTTCTCAGTAATATTGTTGTGTTTCATCAATCCAATTCCTGATCCGGTTCCATCACATAGACTTTGGTCTTTGGCACTTTTTCTGATATTTTAGTGTCCTGGCACTCAGACTGAAAGTTCGTTCAGTTCTTCACATGTAGTGGCTGATTCATCACACGATTTCATAACAATGGAAACAGGACCGCTCTTCCAAGATTACTACCCTTTGGCTTCCTCCAAGCATGCATAGTTTATCCAAGAAGTCGTTTGGTTATCGAATTTACCCCAATATCCAAGACAGCAGCTAGGAGTTCTTTGTTGTTTTCGTAAGCATATTCTGCTAGGTCCTTTACATACAGTCATTTCTGTTGGCATGAATGCCCCGTATGCTTATTTTCGAACAAGTTGTCTGTCTGCTAGTCATGCAGTAATACTATTCATTTCTTTAAATTTATTTCCAGAAGATTGACAGTGTAAAAAATCAACTGAAGCAAAAATCAGGAGAATAAATAATGTATCTGTAACTCCCATCGGTTATACTAATTCACTTTCATCTACCTGAACCCATAAGTAATTGCCTGGTTTTTGCGCGGACGACACTTACGTCATGATCCACCAAAGTGATTCCCGACTAACACCCTGATCTCTCAGATAGTTGCTCGCCCCTCCAGTAACAAATTCTTGACCAACTCCATGCCTCATACACTCATATGCCTCATATTTTATCTCTTAGTGGTTCACAGCTATTGTCCTAGTGATTAATGATTTTAATTCGTTGATATAATTTGGTTTTAGCTCCATCTAAAGAAGTGATTTTGGCTCCATCTAAAGAAGTGGGAATTGGGAATTTATATAGCACCACTTGGATTGTCATGGTTCTAATAAGGCATTATCGCAGGTTTTTCAACGCAGCATGTCTTCAATCTCATAATTTTTCAACTAACACTTCATTGCGAGATTTTCAGTGAACATTTTACAAAACCGTAATACGTGTTTCGCTATATCATAGCTTCCTCACACTTGTTCGTACCTTCTACATAAATAGTGCTTTATATGACAATTTGAATCATGGCCTTCTACCTACTCAAATAGATACTTAAATAATTTTATCTGAGTATAGACACAAACTAATTAAAAATCTAAATATTTTGAACTCATTAATTGAACATGTTCAAAACTAATTACCGATTTCCACATCAGAAAATAGATTCAACGGAGATAGAGAATTCAAATCTACTTGGTCAATCAGTGAATTTATCTAACTCCCAAATTTATTAAATTTCAAGCATTCCAAAAGATCGAGTTTCTAACCTTTCTCTTCCAAATGTAATAGGTTATAGTCGCGGTTGAACTCATACTCCTCTGCTGAGAGATTGTTTATAAATGTGGATTGAATTGATCTTCACATTCAATAAATTACCTACTCCTATGTTCTTTTATTCATTGAGAAAAGGTTCTCCGCGGTTGGTCAATGTTTTGGCAAAAACCACTTATGATTTATCCAACACTGAAGTTTCAATAAATTCGCTTTAATTATCATTTGTTCTGTAAGCCACGTCTAAGTCTTTCTGTTTCAAAAAACGAGCGCGGTTATTGGTGTGTGACAGACCTGGTAAATGGCTTGTTTTTCCACTTCAAGAAACTATAATGAGTATCATAAGATATTGCCTTTTTTTGAAAAACAAAGATTTGGACGTGGCTGACAAAAAAATTAAATTTTTAACACATTTTTCGAAAACAAAAATTTATATTGGGCAAACGAGGAGGAACTTTTACCAAAGAATAAAAATTGAAAAGACATAGCAGTAGTATCTTGAATGTGAAGATCAATTCCACATCTGAAAATCATTTTTTGGCTGAGTGGCATGGGTTCAACCACGACTACGACGTATCACATTCGAAAGGTTTGAAACTCAACCTTTTGGAATGCTGGAAGAGTTTTGAAAATTTACTGAATGACCAAAAAGAATTGGATTTTTTTTCCTATGTTTTCGAATGTGGTAATTTGTTTATTACATGTTCATTTATTGTGAAAGGTGAAACTTCTTTTATGATGTTTGAATTTTAAATCAGTTCATACCTCAGGTGAATTATCAATAATAAAGTAGGTAGGTATAGGTCATATTATTTGATTTGTTATAATAATCACTGATTATGTGGAATATAGTCAGTATGAATATGCCTAAGAAAGCTATTGTACAGCGAAATTTGTATTGCGGTTTTGTAAAACGTTCAGAGATGATTTTTTGAGGAAAAAACAAAAGCTCTCAAAGCGATGCCTGTGTAAAAGTAGCGATTCACATTGGATTTGAATCGCTGGAGACTAAATCCATTTGGAAAAACGTTCTCAGGAAGTTTATTCCACATAAATGCAGATGATCTCTCATCATATCTCATATTGATGTTTCTTTATCTGCCAGTGAAGCCTTTTTTTTCTCGCAGAATATTTCAACTTGCTCACTCCCACTTAAATATTTGTGTTCTCAATTGTTTTTCGCCACAAACGATAAGCATTTTGCTTTTATTCAATATCATAAAATCGGGCCACTTTGTTATATTTGTGTGCTTCATAAAAATAATGCAGATTATATCACGTTGGAAACTCATTAAAATGAATAAACTACAAAAATTTTGCTGAAGTTGTACTACTTTATTTGAATGATAATTTTAGATTCGTTCCAGTTCACTACATCAGTGTATTTATTCATGAATTCTTGATTACTGAAATGCTGGAATATTAGGCGTTTTTGAATTGAAATTAACGGATAATGTCAGTTTTCAATGAAACAAAAAGTAGATGAGATTTGATTTTTGCTGTTGAAATTCATTGAAATTTTGTTAAGTTCAGTTTCACCATGTTCGAGTTTGAAGGCTGTCGATTTTTGGAATTTCTTCCTGACAATTTGCTGGCGCGAATGGCTAGCTTCTTCAGAGGTTTATACATCCTGAGTAGTATGGCGTATTTATGTTGACTCAGGTAGTTTGGTATGCCAATACCTATACCTGGGTTAGGTAAATTGCGTGAAGCCTGTGCATGTTGTGCACTTGTACACTTGTGCAGGAAATGACTAGGTTTGTGCACTTTTGGAAAGGAATACATCGGAACCACCAAAAGATCCAACTGACAAGTTGGCTGTGGCGGATCACGCACTTAGTAAAGGAAACGTTTGAAAACACGAAACTCATATCCCCTCCAAACAGGGATGCCATAGCCGACTGGTACTGGAGGCAATAGAGATCCACAAACACGCAGATAAAAGAAGAAGCTGTGAACCTCAACAGAGTATGGAATCCCATTTTAAGAATTTCAAGAATAAACAGCATGACGGCAGATAGAAAAGGTTCGACGAATGTTATTGACAATTTACCTAATCCAGATACAGGTATTAGCACACCAAACTACCTGGGTCAACATAAATAAGTCTTACGCAGCCGTAATATTCAGTCATCGGAGATTACTCAGGATGTATAAACCTCTGAAGAAGCTAGCCACTTGCGTCAGCGAAACGTCAGGAAGAAATTCTAAAAATCGACGGTCTTCAGTTCCGAAAAATAGTGATAGTAAAAACCTCGGGTGCGGAAGCCTTAACCACTTTGTCAAGATCAGTTTGAAAAATACAAATTGAAACTGATATCATGGAGGTTAGCCGGTATATTATAATGAAAATGTACAATTGATAATCATTCCAATTTTTTGGCAGGCAATAAGAATGTTTTGCTTAGTTGAATTTGTCAATTTGTGTTGTACCTCGTACACTCAAACACTAATAGATAGTCTAAACTCACTTGCTTCGATGCTGTACTATCCAGGCTACTCTGGCTCGATACACTAGGAGTCCTGCAAAGAAGAGGCTGTCCACCGGGGTATGATTTGGATTGATGCTGGAGAGCCGGAGGAGCCACAGCTGCCGAACATACGTCTAAAGGTGTTTTAAGAATTTCAGCCGTTAAAGCTTGGGCGGAAACATTCTGTGGAGGCTGGATATTCAGATGTTCTTTTTCTACGTTGAACTCCTAGATGGAAAAAAATGGTGTTTCGTTAGTATTCATTCAGTTTGAAAATACGAATTTTTCATATTTTTTCCGCTGAGTGTGAGAATCGAAGTTTATTAATGAGATCCACCTAGTACGTTGGACATATTATTCTCTATTTGAATGAATTGAATCAAACAACGTTTGTGTTGAACATTTAATATTCCACATAACAAAAGACTACTTGATGAGTAGGGTTTGGAACCCATGGCGAAAAATGAATTTATGGGAAACACTTGTTACTTGCAGTTATCAAGAAGGTAGCTAAAAGTAACGAATATCGTTCAAACAAAATGCATACGTTGAAGATAAAGTTGAGAGAGGGTGTTCTTCGATTGTACCTAAAGACAAAAACTCAAAATCTATAGAACTTTTATACGAACCGAAATACACCAACAGATTGTTTCAAATTTTTTAATTAAAAGGTGGTTTTCAAAACTGTTCGTATACTTCGCAAGTCCTATTTTCAATTAATGGTTCTGAATAAAAAGCCACAAACTTAATAAAGTCGTTATAAATGTAGGAATGAGTACAAAAAACTAATATTCAGCATGAATACATTCGTTTCATTGATTTTGACTATTTAATCATTTCTGTAGCTTCTTATAGGGAACCATTAATTTGAAATTGGACTTGAATATGCAAATTATAAAATAATTCAATTTTTAATTTAATATTCAAGCCCAATTTCCAATTAATGGTTCTAAATGAGAAGCCACGAAAATAATGAAATCCTCATAAATGTAGGAATAAGTATGAAAAACCTAAAATTCATCATGAATATATTCTTGAATTCATTGATTCTGCCTATTTCATCATTTATATAGCTTCTTATTCAGAAGCATTGATTGAAAATCGGACTAGAACATGAAAGTTACAAAAAGCTGGTTTTCAAAACTTTTCGTTTACTTCAATTAGTGTAGGGCATCAAAGTAATTGCTGTAAAATTCAACAAGATATACTTCATAAAAATCATATTCAACTGGTCAGATATAGAACGAACAAAATTTTCAGTAATTTTATTTTCTATGAAGTGACTTTTTACCTATATAGATACTCTTCTTTACTTCACTAACTAATGGATCCTGATAGAGTTGAAACTTTCCAAAGAAACATTATTCAACGGATCAAACATTTGAATAGATTTGTGTTATTCTACACAATGAATGCCAAACTGGATAAATTGGCTGCCGAAACACTGGATGAATCGAATTTGAATTTAACAGATGTAGTTGAATTGCTTTCCCATATTGACACCAGTCGAAGAACAAACAACTAATGAATTTTTCAGCAGAGACGTATCTATGATGATTTTCACAGATAAGGAGATGAAAACCAACTGTTATTTCATCAATAACAGGTGAAATGAAAATATAACAAAATAAAATCAGAATATGCCAAAAATCTTAAAATATATCCCAAGAATGGTATGGAGGCAAATCCTCCTCCAACATTGATGTTATGTATTTTCGGATACAGAACAAATACTTTCAGATCAAACTTTATTACAAAGAATTATCTGACATTACAACTTCATTCCTATTTGACAGTAAACCGACAGTTCTTCAAACCCGTATTCTAATGTTTTCTAAATACTGAAGGTTTGGTACTTTTCAGCTTACCTTACATGATTATAATATATAACAATTGAGTATGTATTTATGAAACTAGTTATATAGGGAACAAAGATGTCAAATTAAATATACGGTGAAGAATGAAACCATTTATTCGAAACGTAATTTGATTGCATATCAAAAATATAGAGAAATCTCCTGAAGACGCCAACACGATACACGTGAAAAAATGATTCTTCGGATTCATCCAACGCCAAAGGTTACTACTGTTCCAGTTATTAAAGAGGATGGTAGTTGGCAGAAAGTTTTTACGTTATCTATAGATTTTCTTTCTGTTTCTTTCGAAAATATTTCAACTCACGTTGACTATGCCTGAGATCTGGATTATAAATTGAGTTTATGATGGAAACGGGACTTTTATTCACTCATGTCACCATGTTAGTAATTCCTTTGATCATTATACCATAGCAGTAAGTCAGATTTCCCTTTTTAATAATGATATTGTCATTTTCTTATTGGTATCCTTCAGTAAATCTAAAATTTTCATTACAAAGTCGGCTACCCCGAATTTTCATGGTATATTTTTCCGTATCGTTTTTTTGGTGCGATTTTGAACCCTCATTATGAAACCAACAGTTATTGGTCTCTGGAATTTCGAATTCAATTATAACTACTACAATGAGCGATTATTTCATATATGATGTTTCATATATGTTGCAAAAAAGTTATACATTCTCACTTAATGAATTTCCTCAGCATGTTCAATAATATTTCATTAACATTTTCGTGAAATATATAGTCTTAATGACAACACGTCATATGAATTCCTAAGCAAATGAATATTCGTTGTACTCTGAATAAAATACCAACAATCAGTAAATCGATATAATCAGATGGGTTAATCTGCCAATTTGGTATCCTGCTGGAAGTCGTTTTTAGAAAATCTTACTGTTTAACAATGATTACAGCTATAGCCACTTTTACAGTTTTTCAGCGGAATAAATCTGCAGATTGCAGCTCAAAATAACCTGTAGAGCAATTTTACAGTTTATAAGTTGGTAAAAATGAGATTGTTGGTTTTCAGGTGGATGAAACATTTTTTTAAGAATTCTATAAAAATTGGTATGCCATGATAGACCATGCCTACTGAATTTTCCGCCAAATATAATAATTTCAACATCTTTAGGATCAAGTTTCATGTTGGGTTGATACTGTAACTTCTTCATTTCATTAAGTCATAACAGACAGATAATAATATTCAAAGTTGTGAAATTGTGAAACTATTGACGACAGATATGAGAGATTTTATATATAATGGGTTATTGGGTGTAACCAAAGCATCACGACTGAAATTGCACTATCACGCCGACCGAAAATATTTTTTTTAGAGTTTCAGTTTGAAGTAACCCCTAACCTTTCTAACCTATTCCCCTATTTGCTCTCCAGTCCCTTTGGTTTACCCCGTATATATCGATAATTCTCCCGAACGATTCTGTCTCGCGCGAAGTGAGAGGACCTTGTTAACCTCCAAAAATGCTATATCGATTTTATCACTCTCACTCTTGAGTGCGTACAACTGTCTGCGTGATAAATTATAAACAAACGACGATTACCTCTAAACTGCCACTACTATTGCTGTCGATCTTTCCATTGTTTCCGTTCTTTCCCTCGTCGGAGGAATGGTGAAAGTTATTACCCAAAGCCCTCTCCTTGGCCGCCCTGGCCCAAGACTCGAGTCTCTTGTGGGTCATCCAGCAACTGGCTGGACTTATACCGGACATGTTGATGCACTGATTTCGCACAGATATATTTCACATCAGTCTTTGTTAATTATTCGTTGATTTGGCAGTTCCTGTCGAACGCGGTTAGCGCCCTTGGACGCCTCTAGACATACTGACGCTCGAAATCGACGCAACGCTCTGCCCTGGGCTCAACAGGTTGAGGGGTGAGACAACGTTGGATCCAATTTTCCAATATCTTGATTATACCGGGAAAACTATATTTTCTCGTTAGCTTTTCTGGTTACACCAATGTTTTTCCCTGCCGCGGTTGAACAATTTTCCTGAGGAGTTTATGCGGGAAGCAGATCTGGGGCATAATTGAAGCAATCTGTTTCACATTCAAAATTACCTCAGTTATCATAGTGTGTAACGCCAAATGGATTTTTATTACCAATTAATTGTTCCCATTTTAGTGTGGTTCTGCAGAAAAAAACCATTTCTTTGATACAAAAGATATTTAAAATTGCATAGATGATATAATATAAGTCACAAATAAGTCAGAAAAATATTCAATGCTATTCCAAAATATTTATCAGTCTATAAAAAAACCCATTTAATGCAAAAAATTAATTGAGAACTAAATAACCAGTCAAAATTGCTGGGCTGTTGTTTAAAGAATACTCTTTGTTATATGGTCGAGCTTTCGAAAATGTTCATTCCCTTTATCAAGACATCTACAATAAATTGAAAACATTGAAGAAACGAAAATATCAGTTCTTGATATCTGCTGAGTGTTTATAAACATATTAAAGATGTATTAAAATGATGAAATGACTGAAATGCTAGTTAGTTATGCAAAATCAAATTGAAATCTTTTTTTTGGAAGGAATATGAATGTTGAGCTATACCCGAATCGTCGAATTCTGAACATCCAAATGTTTAGACGATTGTAAAGAAATTTAAGGGACTAGGTGCATTTGACAGAAAGAAAACAAGAAAATGTGTGGTTACTGGAAGTGTGAGGAATAAAATAAATGTTATCGGTAAGCAAATATTACCACATAAAAATTTACATAGTTAAAACTTTTTTTTTATTTAGGATTGACCAGTTACAAAGATTATGCTAATCAAGATTGTTCTTTATGAGACATTGTCCAGGAAATGGGGATTTCTGTGAAATCCACCAGAATTATTTTGAAAAGAACAAATATAAATGCTACAGGATACGCAAAGTTCATCACCCATGAAGGGATTACGAAAGGAGAGTACGATTTGCGAAGTGGTTAAGACGTAGAAATAAGGAAGTTGGAAATATTTGTAAAAAATAATATGGACGGACGCATTAAAATTCACCAACAATGGTTGGTTTAACAGAAATATCCATTATAGGTGGAATGTAAATGAACATTCACATAGGAAAACCAATTTTCAAGAAAGGATCGGAATAAATTGTGAAGTTGTGAATCGTAGGATTAAACATCCTTGGCCCTTTCTTTTACGATTATCATTTGAACAGTGAAATGTATCTTCATTTTCTATTTAATGAATTCGATGGCTACTTACATGAATTGCCACTGAATATTCGCCATGAAATACAATATTTTCAACAGAATGGCGCTCCTCCGCATAATGCAGCAATAGTAAGGAAAAATTTAGATGCAATATTCCCAAGAAAATGGATTGAAAA